TCTCTACAATAAATCAAGAAAAATTAGCTGGGCATGGTGGTGCACACCTTTAGTTCCAGCTACTTGGAAGGGCTGAGGAGGAAGGATCGTCTGAGCCCAGCAGGTCGAGGCTGTGGTGGCCGGAAGTCTGGGCAACAGAGTGAGACTCCAACTCAAGAAAAAAAAAAAGAACTGTGATGCATAGAAGACCTTGCAGGGAGCAGCCCCAAGTCCCATTGACCTTGTACTCATTGACTAGACCAAAGCACTTGGCATGGACGGCAAGCTTGGACCCGGCAATTTTAGAACATGTCTAGACACCTCGTCCTGTTGACTATTTTACTTCACGAAGGCTCTGTCTCATCCAACCACCCTCGCCCTCCATCAAGACAGGGATTTAAGCATAGGCTAAATGATATTCCCAAAGTCCACTTTGAACAGGAGGATTTGTTGATTTCCACTGTGCTCCCGGGCATGTTTAATGAATGACTGCATGATTTGTAGGTGGGTTCCTCATGGGAAAAGAAAGGTACAGGTTACTGATCAAAGTAAACCGCCAGGCGTGGTGGCTCACGCCTGTCACCCCAGCACTTTGGAAGGCGTGGGGGTACTCGCTTGTAGCCCCTGTCACTTGGAAAGCTGAGGCGAATAGATACCCCAGCCCAGGAGGTCGAGGCTGCAGTGAGCCTTCCTTGTGCCGCTGTGCTCCAGCCTGGGCAACAGAGTGAGACACTGACACACAAAAACAAACAAACAAACAAAAAAGTTATATGTGAGCTCTTCTGTGCAGACTAGAAGAGCTGCACTATACTATATTTTTAGAAGTAATGGAGCAAGTGTAGACAGTGATGCCTCAGCTACCTGTCACAGGTGTGTGGTGTGTACATGTGTAGATGTCCTTGAGCTACCCATTTCCACACTCAGCCCACCACTTTCTCTAGAGCAGGTGGTGGTTGCATAGACAACATCATTTACCCTTTTTTTTTTTTGAGTTGGAGTCTCACTCTGTCACCCCAGCTGGAGTGCAGTGGCATGCTCACAGTCACTGCAGCCTCGGCCTGCTGGGCTCAGGTGATCCTTCCGCCTCAGCCTCCTGAGTAGCTGGAACTACAGTCACGTGCGACTACACCCGGCTGATTGCTTCTTTTTTTAATTGTTAAGAGATGAGGTCTTGCCAAATTGCTCAGGCTGGTCTCAAGTTTCTGGGCTCAAGCAATCCTCTCTCCTCAGGTTCCTAAAGTGCTAGATGGGATTACAGGTGTGAGCCACCGTATCAGGCCCTCTTCTTTTTTTTTTTTTTTTTTTAATTTCTTTTTTGTTTT